ATATGATGTTTTTGAATAGTGAAAATTCTAGAAATATGAGAAGGATCCCCAATAGGAAGAATCATGCCATAATTACTCATTTTCTTTACCTTCTTCTTCTGAACCACTGTTGGTTGTTCAATGTTAGGAGAACCTACAACCTGACCATCATCCTTCCCTTCAATGAAAACTCTTTGCATGAATCTTATAAAGTCCATAAGTGGTAATTTAGATACATGAGTAAGATGTTGAAGAATCTTGTATGACATCTTAGTTTGCTTCCCAACTTGACACGTGTCATAAATTTTACCTTATTCAATTTTGAGATCATATATACATATGACAGTTTTATTTACAACAAAGTTCCTTGTAATCCCAAGATTTTTGTTTCATAGCTTAGTTTATGTATCTAAAATGTCATCCATGATGTCTGGAACATGTTCTTCAACATTCTGCATCATAGTGCAAGAAGTAGTCATCTTCCTCTCAGTACATTTCTATCATGTAGTACAATCACCAAGACTAACATAGTTTCTTCTTCCTATCAAGTGTCTATTGTAGCTACTGTCAAAATAATAATCCTCGCCATAAAATACCTTATGGGCGGTACAAGCACTACTATGTAAAATCCATTTCATTATGGTTGAAAAAGGGATACCATCATGTTTGACCAACCATTGTAAGGTAAGGGGTGGTTGTATGTATTATTCTTTCCACTACGGTCGTGAGACCATGGTTATAAGCTATATAGCGTGCTACCTATCACAATTGTTACTTTAAACAACCGTTTTGATATTCTTAACACATAACATTTAACAATGGTTGGTATAAACAACCGTTGTGATATATACACTGAGTTTACCATAAATAATATGGAGTGCTTATTTCTCCAATGTTCACTAAACAACGCATTTATATTAGAAAAACAAGTTCACATTCAATGCTAGACAATAGCTCTTCAACTCATTATCCTTATTTTCCTCTTTTACGGCTAGAACTTTGTTTAATGCTCCTAGTTTTTTAACCTCCTCTTCCTTCACCTCTAGTTAATTTTGAAAGATATTATTTACTTTGTAAAAAAATTTACAGGTGGAGAAAGGGATGGTTGAAGAACTACAAGCATTAAATAAAGTTCTAACTATTAAAGAACAAAATGCAAATAACGGGCAGAAGAAATATTGTCTAGAATTGAACATGTATTTGTTTTCTAATATAACTTTATCTATCATATTATAATTTACTAATGCAATCTGAAAAGTTATATTCAGTAAGGGATTTGAAAAACACTCAAACCATATAAGATATATAAAACCATCTTTTAAACGAACATTAACAACAACATTCATCAACAACAAACCTTAAACAACATACAAGATACAACAAACAACTCTTATTAAAAACAACAAAATCATCAACATATAGCATAAACTACATACAACATAACATTTTTATTAATAACAACAACAATATATTAACTCATAGAATGTTTCATAAACATAGATGTCTCTCATAATGACATCCACAATGAAAGGAGGATGAACCTGAAGTGAGAGCTGCAAACTTGTGTTAATTTTGAATGGATGTGATTCTGGGTCTTTCACACAAGTTTGCAGCACTCACTTTAACTTCATCTTCGTATTGAAATAAGCATCTCTATCTACAAGTCAAAACAAGTTTTTGAAACATAAACAATAATACATAAAAAGATTTTGAAACATAAACTATTGTGAAGACGAACTTGTAAGGTAGCCATTTGCTAAGATTTGATGCAATAAAGGTAACCCTTCAAAAAAGACGAGTTCACTGCATAAGTTTGGGGTTTCCATATGAGAGAGACGAGTGACAGAGATGTTAGGGGTTTATTTAGAGAGACAGGTGGAAAAGATGTTAGGGTTTCTCTTATAGTAACAACTATCACCATAATTGATAATATGAACCGTGATGAAATTATTGCACCTTACACCATGATCGTTTATAAGAACCATGCTGATATACATTGTCAAACCTATTATGTCACGGTAAATGGAAAATTATTGGTGTTGGGATTCAAACCCTTTCACTTCGGGTACATTTTACTACAGTTGTTGACTATGATCGTAGTGAAATTTATTTTAGTAAATACTAAAAAAAGCGTCCAAAAAAGAGTTATTACCACAGTTAACAGGAATTCCGTTGTAAAATGGGTGTTATGAAAGGTATATTTTGTAGTAGTGATGCAATACGAACAAGAATATTAGGCTTGCCAAGCCAACATTGTTGATGATGCCTTTGGGACTTCTCATTCCACTGGGAATACATATGCTGATGATGTAGTTGACTATCCTACAATTTATATAATAGTACAATGAAATGGAGGAGACAAAAATAATGCATTGGTAATCATGTGTGAAGGATCTTGAGACATGTTACCTGACTTTCTGCATTATGTGTTCTGAATTGGAGTAACACACATATTCTTAGAATTTGATGGCTCATCTATATTATAACATCTTTCATGTCTTTTAAGGTCATAAAATTGTTTGCTTGATTAGATTCACCTTCTCCGTCATAAGTGACATTCTAGATTCTTCTTTGTTTCCTTGGTAAACTTGAGCATTCAGCTTGAATATGTCCAAAATCTTTGCATTATAGACGTTGGATGCAGTTGAGATTTTTACCACCTATTACTTTATGCTAAAAGTTACACCTCTTGAAATTGTGTTGTTGTTGTCTTGAACATTTGCATAGACATTATTTACATATCTCGTATCTAGTTTTCAAATGAATTTACTAATGATCTTATCTTAGCAAGTCTGAGATTATCTTTAGTTTTCTCATGACTTTACAAGGTGTCTACTCTGATGCCAATTGAAATTGTGTCCTCATGAGAATAGATGTTAGACCAGGTGCCTAAGCCAATATGTTCAACATGTTATACCAAAATTTATAGATAATAGAAAACATATTCATAAGTCATAAAGCAAATAAATAATACAAGAGAATTTTTAACACAAATCAGTACAATAACACCTACATTTTGAGGAGTTTCCAACCAAAGAAAGTAAATTCACTCTCAATAGTATTAGTACAAAGTGTCTTAGATGGATAACTCTTGTTCAATTCCTCTATTCATAATACTACTTGTGTCTTTCTATTTAGGAGTCCCCCTAAATATGACAAACCTTCTCACTTTCTCTCAACTACTAACCATAGATATTACAATAATTTAAGGATTATGAATTACAACTCAACTAATAATCACCTTATATGCCTTTAATATTCAATTTAGTCTTTTTATAGAGGTGTACAAAAACAACAACTTACAAAGACTCAAAGAACCAAACCCTAGCACATTAGATCTTCAATATATGTGCCCACATCAAACGTTAGGTTTAAGTCTCCTTAAATAACAATGCAACTTCTCTTCTTTTCTCCAATGGATATTTGATTTGACATCGCATCCAGATTTGTTTTTCAAAAACCTTCATAAAAAAGATTTGATTTTTTTATTCAAATTTAAATCTCCAAATAACTAGATTTGATCATATTCAATCTGTCAAACAAATCTAATTAACACATTGCTAAAAGATATCAAAAAATTTGATTGAAACACAACCATAATTTTTGCTCAGAACAACAACAACAATAACCATGGTCTGTTGACAAAGGTCAGTTGTTGCACACATGCTGAAACATTTAGTCTGACATCTCTCCACGAAACATCATTTTGAATCTTGAACAAATCAAATAAAATATTTAGTTGATATACATCACATGTTGCAACTTCTCAAATAAATGACTAAGAATAAATCTCTTTCCAAAATCTAAACCACACTTTAAACCATCTTTAAGTTAGATCATAGATTCATTCATCATGTGCAAATCCAAAATCTTGCATTTACAACAAATCTAATAGAATATAAATCTTCAATCAATATTTTTGCATATGAATTTTTTGCACAATCTTACACAAAAATAAATCTAAACCAAATCTCTCTTCAAAGCATATTCAAATATATATTTTCTTCAATTCATATTCAATCAAATCAAATCTTCTTATTTATACCAAACCCAACTCTTTCAATTAAAGTTTATCCAATTAAATCTTCTTCAACCTTTATGGATTATGATTTAGTAAAATCTTTTTTCAAACTGATTTGGATTAACAACTTTCTTGTAATCAAACAAAATCACGCTTTTATGGCTACAGACTGAGACCAACCGCTAAAACACATGCCGGAACATCTTATCCCACATGTTACATCTTTACCAAAATACATCTTTTTACTATCCATGTTATTTTACCAAATACAACCCATCAAAAGGAACAACCCTAAACTAAACCTGCATGCGAAATTTGATTAATTATCATAGGCTAGATATCATTTTTGCTGTCGAACCTTTCATCTCCTTTGAACAAGTTTTTGGTTGGTTATAGAAGAATATCAAGGTTACCAAATTTTGCAAGAGAAGACTTTCTTCATAACTATTTTGGTTTTATTAGCTCACATCCATTTAACTCAAGTAGTAAATATCAATTGAGTTACATTACCCATCATCTTTTATTATATCATTAAAATAGAATAGTAGTTATATAAAAATAACATATAAACTAATCAAAGCAATATATTTGTTTACATATATGAATCTTTTAACTACTTCTACAATAAAGAACTAAAGAGTAAATCCAACATTTCAAAAAGAAGTTTATAATTTAGCTATAATTTTGGCCAAAAAGGAAAAAGAGCACTAATAAAATAGCTAATGAAAGTATATTGGTGTTTTGTTCATGACATTCTCATTCTCTCTCTCTTTTATTATATATATATATATATATATATATATATATATATATATATATATATATATATATATATATATATATATATATATATATATATATATATATATAAAGGAGAGACTCAAATTTTAAGTTAAGCCATTTTCATATTAGAACCCCTTCTAAATCCTCTCTCTCTCACCACACCAATTACGTTAAACCTCGAATATATCAAAGAACAAGAAGAAGCTGTTCTTCTCAAATGTCCACCACACCAATTACGCTCCTGCCACCACCACCACCCACACCCACAGAAGTAACCCACCAAGCATACACAACTCATTCTGATCAAGGGTCGGTTGGGCCCGTCATTGCGGTTCTTGTAGTCATCACTCTTCTGGGTATCCTTTCAGCTTTGATTGGTAGGCTTTGTTCCGGTCGTCGCGTCATGGGTTATGGCGAATACGACATTGAATCATGGATTGAAACCAAATGTTCTTCTTGTGTTGGCGGCAGACTAGACCCTCCTCTTCCACCACAGTCGCCTCCGCCGGTGAATGAACCTGATGCTGTTGAGGATTCTCAGGAGATAACAGAAGATCAACAGTCACAACAAGAATCAGGGCAAAGCTCAGTTGGCCATAGTAGTAGTTAATTAATTACTCTAGGAACAAGCAATGTTCATGTTCAATGTTGAAACTAAGGTTGCAAAATTTTAATGTTTTAAGCAAAGTTGTTATGTGTTTTTTTAACTGCATTTGATTTATCTCCAATTGTATGTGGTTATGGAAGCAATGTTCATGGGTTTTGAATGAATGACCGACCGGCTGGTGTTCGAAATTTTTTTTTATGCGATAAGATTACGAATAAAAGAAAAGGAAAAATAAAAGGTAATCTTTCTTAATATAAAAAATCCAGGGTTTAGATTTGGAAAATTTAATTTATTTTAATGACAATCACTTCATCAATTTATTATAAGAAAAGTTGGTTTTTTCATATAATCTAAGAAAAAAAACTGTTTATATTGTTAGCAATTTTTAATAGACTAATTATCGATAAGGATGACAATGGGATGAATTGGAGATGGTTTTTACATCCTCTAAGTTCTAACTCAAATATTTAAATCACCGTTTTGATCTCAAAAAATGAGGTAGGGTTAAAGCTAGGGTTATCATTGATTCGGACAAATTCGAATTAAACTGGAATTTAAACCAAATGATAATGTTTCGGTTGAATACTTTTTTAATTCGGACAAAAGTCGAATCGAACTAAATCAATAAAATTCAATGTTAATTGATTTGGACAACGGTTTTCAAAATTCTATATGAAAGTCTATTTATCCGAATCAATCATATTAATTTATATCATTATAATATAAATTAGTATAAGATATTCGACTTAAAAAAAAACATTGTGACATTCACAATTTATATGAAATCACGAAAATAAATAAATAAAATTATATTATAATTATAGAAAATTTGTTGATGTAAACTAAAATATTTTAAAAATATTTTGACATATTTATTTTTAATGTATCCGATCAATTCAACCCGAATCAACCCGTTATTTTTTAGTTTGGCCTGATTTAGGTTTTATAGAAAAAAAATATGAAAATTCAATCAAAACGAATTCATATATTTTTTATCAGTTTGGACATCAGATTCACTCAAAATTAAAGCAAATCGTTCTGCGAACACCCTAGTTAAAATCCTAATCTATCTCAATTGGGTTTGGTTTGAGTTGTAGCATTTTCACCTTGTTAACATCTTGATCTGACCTGATCAGAAGGGGATCGCTGGCTGCCACGCGTGTATGACTTGCTGCCTGTTCACCGGTGCTGAAGAAGAGGAGGGGGTGTACCTGTAAGACACTGCGATGCCAAAGTAAGCGTATGGGCAGAGTGGTCACAAGTACAGAAAAGGGGTAAGAAGAGAATATCTGACCCTCTTAGAGAAGAGGGTATTTATAGAGAGACCACAACGCAGGGCCAACGGTCATTTGAGTTGGGCTGATGGCCAGACCCAACCCAAGTGACTGCTAGGGCTTACGTGGCGTAGTGAAGACCAGAATGTGGTATTCGCCCTAGTTCAACAGCTCCGTGAACTCAGGAAAGTGGGTTGACATGCTCTTTCGGAGGTGGACAATTGGTGGATGACGTGTCCCCGCGGAGGGGAGCACGTGGAGAACGCGTGAAGGACACGTTTGTTATGCTCGACAGGGGGAGAAGGTCCTGCCCGCGGAGGGAGGTTCTGCCCGACGGGGGCAGTGTCTGGTCGACGGGGAGTCTTGGGTTCGATACAGATGAGGAAGGTTCTGCCCGACGGGGGCAGTGTCTGGTCGACGGGGAGTCTTGGGTTCGATACAGATGAGGAAGGTTCTGCCCGCGGAGGGATATGACCTGCCCGCCGGGGACTCTGTGCTCGACGACTGTGGCCCAAGCTAGATTGGACTTGACAGAATATTATTGGGCTGGGTCTACCCGGTCAAGCCGGGGCACAGGTCAGAACACATCTATTATTTAAAATTATTCTTTTAATAAATATATTTATCTTTTATAAAATCAAATTATATTCTAAATAATCAAATTAAATAATTTTAAAAAATTTCATAAAAAATATAAAATAAAATATTAAAACACTGACTACATATTTAATATTTTAAATTATCAAAATTAAAATAAAATAATTGGAATAAATTCGAAGTGAGTATTAGTATTTTCGTTATCCAATTTATTTCAATAATTTGTAATTGAAAAAAAAAACTCAAACTCAATGTCACACCAATAAAAAGAATTTTTCCTTTTAAATTCATGACACATTCGAGGAGATAGTTGCGGGTACTGATTGTATTGTGATGTAATGTGAAGACTTTAGTTCACTTTCTATTATGTCTGCATTGATCTATTCTATTTTATTAATCCCTTAAATGGGACAAACATGTTTATTTTCCAACTTATATATTTGTATAACAATGATGGGAAGAATTGGCTAAATTATTTTTATTATTAATTATAATGAAATAGCTAGTTAAATAAAAATTATTCTTTTATATTATTTTTAAGAGATAATTTATTTTTTAGATACATTAAATAACTAATATATTTGATTCATATATAATTTAAATATATTAGTTATTTAATATATTTAAAAAATAAATTGTCTCTTATAAATAAATTCTAAGAAATTATTAAATAAAGGATGGTAGTATTAAAATTGTTAATATTATCTTAAAACCGAAAATGAAACATTTTATGGAAGAAGAAATTACTATATAAAGTTGATAGATGAAACTTTGAATCTGTTGACTTGGTTATATTTTGTTTTTGAAAGCAATAAATTGATGTTGTAGTAGTTATTCAGGTGGTCCTTTGAGAATAGCACTAAATTTGCAATGTTTGAATAGAACTAGTTTTTTTAGATTGATTTTTGAGTATTTCAATTCAATGCATCTATAAAAATGAAAATTTATTAATGCTGCTTCTATATTCATCTTTGGATTCTGAAATGTGAGTTGTGAAGCAATTATGATACATCATTTTTAGGATAGTAGAAAAAACAAGAAAAGGGACATTCTTGGTTATAGTCAAGACTATTAGCCAGTTCTGGTCTTCATAGGGTCCATATGTTGGACGTGCCGACCTGGAGCATTTAATGGAATCTTTTTGTATACAGTAACATTTTTAATACTTAAATTAAATAAATTAAATATTTTTTTATTATATATGTTAATTTTTTAATATAATATTTTAAGAATAAAAACAAAATTCTTAGGTCAGGTGATAGCTAATTAATCATAGAAGTGTTTTGGAGATGCAACCTATGTCTAAAAAGTTAACCATACATTTTTGCATACATACCAAAATTTGTAAGACAGCCATACCACGTGATTTCTGTACATTAAACAACAGGTTTATGGAATTTAATTTTCATGTGATGAACACAGCTTTTGTCTCAGCTACGAGGGTAATTAACAACATAAACTGCACCAATCGTAAGAATATAGCACCAGCTATGAAGATCACGTTGGAAAGAGAAATTTGTTCACCTAGCAAACATAGAATGATGCAATTATTTGAATATCATTTGTAATAAGAATAAAAGAAATAATTGTTGGTTGAAAAGAAACCAAATTTGTTCAAATGGTGTTTCTAACTTATTTCAACTGGTTTAGAAGTGAAATATATATATATATATAATACTCCTACATGATATATAAGAGAAAAAAATTTGGGCTTATTAAAAATGATATTTAATGCATAATTTTCTTAAATTCTTGTAAAAAACACAATTATTAATCTACTCTTAATTAAATTATCATCACTAAACATATTAAGTAGAGATAGTTTTGGAATAGATATGCTTAGATTTATTGATATTAAATATGCTTAAATTTGTTGACATTTATTTATATTTAAGGTTAAATTTTTTTTTTTATAAATAAGATTGGAGTAATTATTTTTATATGTATTTCTTTTGTACTATACCAATATTACTATACATATCAAATTATATAATTTTAGTGATTAGTTTGAATAAATATGTATGTAATAAACCTATTTATTTTGTGATTTTACCAATTTTCACATCAAATAAATGTTTTTATTTTTTTGCAAGTTCTATCTCAAATATGTGAAAAAAATTTGAGACTAATTATATATAATTTTTCTTTTAAACTTTTTATAGAATTTTTAGAGTTTTTAGACAAATTAGATACGTACTATAAAATATTATTTATTTTAGAATTTTTAAAGTGTTTTATCTTAAATTTGTGTGAAACTTTGAAATGAACATAATATAAAATATTATTTGTTTTAGAATTTTTAAAGTGTTTAAGCTTAAATTTTTGTGAAACTTTGAAATGAATTAGACCTTTTCATCTCTGAAATTAATGTGTTTTTAATTTCAACTCTTAATTTTTTTTAAATACTTTTTTAATGTTAAAGTTTTTTAGTTTTAATTCTTAAAATTAAAATCCACAACAATTTTCTTACAGATTTTCCTATGAATTTTACTATTGATTAAATATTCTTAAATTTTCTACAAATTTTTCTTTGAATTTTTCTACAAATTTTCATTCTAAAAACTAAAATCAAAAATTCTTTTAAAAACAAAAATACGGCAATTTACCAAACAAAAATACTATATAAGTCTACTCCATAATATATATAACTTTTAAGATTTAGAGAGGTTTGTTTTAAATTTTTATGAAACTTTATAATATTTTTTAACCTTTGGAGAGATGCATCTCATATCTATATGAAACTTTGAGACTTATTAGATACAAAATATATATTATTTATATGAAACTTTGATACGATAATATTTATTTTTTAATACCTAATTAAAGGAATTCTATTTATATAAATAATAAGTAAAATATTAATATTTTATATTTCAAAATAAAATAGTGACATTAATAAATTTCATCATTGAAATAAAAAATAAATGCACCTAAAGAATTGTAAGAAAAAAAAAACTTCAGAAGTAATTATAGACCAATGCCTAATTTATTTATATGAAGTAGATAGTATGAGGCCTCGAGACAGACATCAAATAATAAGAGAGATACTTATTTCAATAATAATTTTTGCTTAAGTTACTCCAGCTAATAACTTATTATTGACCATAAAAATCATAAGAATTATATGTGTAA